TAACTTGATCTGTGGAAATGCAATTGTCTGTTCTGGTGGCATTGTGTGTAGTTAAAAACCAACTCTATTGAAATGCATTTCTGACTAGAACACTGAAGAAAATAATCTTGTTAGCATGAAGACAATAGATAATAATACTTTGATGTTGCACCGAAATATAACTATAATCGTTTTTGTATTCAGAAATTAAAAAGGTACAAGACACTGAAGGGGATGAGATTATTAAAAGCCCAAAAGGTTTTAAATTTATTGATCTTACACATGACAAACCCATCAGAGTCTCTGAGAGAGTTATTGTGCCAGTAAAGGACCATCCAAAAGTAAGTTATATTATAATACATTATTTGTTATTTTAGTCAAACATGCATTTGTGTAAATACTGTGGAATACTTTATTTTCGCTGAAAAGGTTTTTTGGGCCTTTTGCTTGGAATTTATTTTCACTGATTTTTGATGAGATTAATGTGAAATATAGAAAAAAAAGTATTTTCGCTGGATTTATTTTCACGGAATCATCTCTTCAGCGAAAATAGCGAAAATAAATTCCAAGCTAAAATAAAGTATTCTACAGTCACAGATATAGCATTTCAATAATTCAAATACAATAACTTGGTTTACAGCGCACTTCTATTGAAAAATTTACCTGCTGTAAAGCAAATGCAGATGCCAATATTGGCACGATCAACCCCTCCCATGTGCTTATTGTATTGAGAAACAACATTGTTATAAGCAAGTCTCACCTACAAGTGCACATGTTATAAATGGAATATTGAATAAGACTTAAAATGCGATTCATTTTTGACGCCTGTCATTTACATACTAGTGAATAACTTGAGTGAGCTTTCTCATCCACCATTTGAATAAATTGTCAATTTGTTCATTAGATTTTGCCAGGTTTTGTACTGCGGAATGAATGCAGTGCAATTACTGCTCTGTTAATTTGTATGCCCAAGTGTGTAGACAATTTGCAGTCGTATCAGTGGCTGTGCAACTGATGTTTGTTTTTTCATTCTTCCAGTTTAACTTCATTGGCAAAATTCTTGGTCCACGTGGCAATTCCTTGAAAAGAATGCAGACAGAAACTGGTACAAAAATATCCATTCTTGGGAAAGGATCTATGAGAGATAAAAAAAGGGTGAGTTGTGTTTTATTTGTTGATGCTTTATGACTGACAAACTGTTTTGTACATAAAAATGGCAACATTGCCAGCTAACTTGTTTTGCTGTGCAGCTCTGAATGTTAGCTCAAACCAGGAACTAATGAATAAGTTGGCGCTGAGATTAAGTTCACTTTGTATTGCAGGAAGATGACCTGAGAGCTGGTGGCGAAGCTAAATTTAGCCATTTGAGTGAAGAGTTGCACATTCTTGTTGAAGCATATTCATTACCACCTGATGCTCATACTAGAGTTGGACATGCCTTAAGAGAGCTACGAAAATACTTAATACCTGTGAGTGTGTTATCCATTTTTAGACCTAGATTGGTTTTGTATGAATGTCCAGGGCACATCTTTGTACCATTTCTTTTCAAAGCTCACACATACACATACTTCACACATACTTCATCTGATACATATGACACGTTAGGTAATTTGGTCGAAAATTGTTGACTTGCAACCATTTTGCTTTTACAAATTCATGTACGTCGTCTTGTACATGCTTTCGACAAATCACTTCAAGCTTTATGCAGAGGTTGTCCATAACACTTCAGTGTTCTCCCCAGGCTTTTGAAGCGTCATCTTACCGTGGTGCTTGGACACTTGCTCGTGTTGCTTGTCCTTTGTCTGTGATGTTGGTCCAGTGTGTGAAACTCGTACCAGCCAAGCAGGCCAGTAACTTTAAAAAATCACTGGCCAAGAGTGAAATGCACTGGCCCAAAATATTGTGTATACCTTAATTTTTTGGTTGATGTCTCATTTGGTATGTGTCTTCAGTGATAACGTATTACAAACATAATGCTCATTCCTTGCGAAGCAAATTTGGAAATCACTTTGTTATGTCACGTTGACAGTTATCGTACTTAACTTGTAAGCTATAAATAAATACAAGAATATGAAATGTGTTTTAATTGCTTGTTGAGGGAAAAAAAACATGTATTCTTACAGACAACTCATTCAATTGATTCAAATATAAAAATCAGTCCATTTCAAAGTCAAGGTCAGCAGAAACTTCATCTAGGGCAATAACACCCGGTTCATCCTCATCTTCCATGTCAGAGCTAATCCTGCGTACAGTGCTGTGTGGACGTGTTCAGTTGATAGATGTCCCCCACCACAGCCCTGCAGTTTAGAGAAAATGCTCCTATTGTAGCGAGTAATCTTTCTTAGTTTACGCAATCTCTCAGCAACATAAAGATTTTCGTATTGCAAACATTTTAATGCATTGACTTTTGGATGAACGCTCTCAAATCTGGAACAGACTTGTATTAGAGATTTACATGGTGTGATATTCATAATAATTTTTTTTAACAGGATAACAATGATGACATCAGACAGGATCAGTTGAGAGAACTTGCAGTTATAAATGGCACGCTTGATGCTCCCCCTTCGGGACGTGGTGGTCGTGGAGGGCCAATGAGAGGCAGGGGTGGACCAGGTGGTTCTGGACGTGGCGGCTCTGGATTTAGAGGAGGGATGTCGTCCGGGCCAAGAGGGCCAGCACCTGCTGGGGGCAGAGGTGGTTTTGGTAGCAGTGCACGTGGTGGATCAATGTTTGGCAGTCCGGGTGCTGGAAGGCCGAGTAAGCCAGATTCATTTGTAAGTTAAATTTGTATGTACTGAAAATTGTTCTTGAAATAATTTTGTGGTAGTTCCCTTTCTGAGACTGAAGATTTTACAACAAATGTTCAACGTTGGTTTTGCTCCAAAGAAGTATTCTTCACTTCATCTTCTTTTGCAGCCTTGTACTGTGGTGTGACCAAATTTACTAATCGACATGACAACAGTATTGATATTACTACTTGTCAACGTCTGCATTCACTTGAGATAGTAAAATTAAAAGACATTTATAATTTCACTTGTTGACAGGGATTTGAGGAGCCGTACGAACAGAGCTACGACCAGTTTTTTGATTCTTCTTCATCATATATGGACAATTCAGGGTAAGTTGAAGTCTTCAAAGTATTTTCAGTTTCGCTGTTGATTTTGTCGAGTGGATTTTATCATGCAAGTGATTGGCGGTCGTCCGCGTCATTTTTATTTTTTCTTAAAAACTACAAGTCTGGTTGCTGTGATGCTTGATATATATGTACCTTGGGTAGTCTTTGCTTAGATTTGTTTAACGTATGTGTTCTATTGCAGTGCAAGTGGTGGCGATGATGGTTACTATGACTCCAGCTACCCAAGTGGGGGTGGTGGTAATGATTTTGGGCAAAGCTATGGTTAGTATCTTTTCACTGTACTTTTTTTAGTATATACACATTGATATTAAGAGCCAACTGACTGCGGGTACATACATACTGAACAATTTAATCGATCAGATTGAAAAATTTGGCATGAGGTTGATTGTTAATCCCCCGTCCGGACGCAGTCCGAAAACAGGGACTTGTGTTTTGACCTCAGTGCTTCCGTCAATGTGTGCGTTCGGACCTGTATCTTAGAAATGCCTGGACCAATCACAATCAAACTTCACACATACATCATACATAATATTATTAATATACACATCAATTTGTTTCACGGTTTGAGTCAAGATGGCAGAATGGCGGCCATTTTTGTTCTAAAAATCATCAAAATCAAGCATTTCTTGGCTGTTTACTGATGGATTTTGTTCTAACTTGGTATATACGTTGGACATTATAGGACCTTGATGCACATCATTTTGTTTTCAGATATGATTTGAAATGGCCAACTGGTGGCCATTTTGTTTTAATAAATGTAGTTCTAGTGCCATATCTCTGACTTGCTGTGATTATGTTCAAATTTTAAACGTTTATTATACATTATGTCATAGATGTACAGATATATTGGTTTGACAATCCTATTAAAAATGGCAGAATGGTGGCAAATTTTGTGCTAAAAATCATCAAAATCAAGCATTTCTTGCATTTATGGACAGATTTTGTTCAAACTTGGGATACATTCATTAGACATTACGGGTTCCTGATGCACGTTATTTTATTTGTTAGATCAGATTCAGAATGGCCATTTTGTTTCAATGAATGGGCTTCTAGAGCCATATCTCTGACATGCTTTGACTCGCTATGTTCAAATTTTATATATTCATTATACATGTATTCAGAATGGCTGATTTTGTTTTATTAATGCTGTTCCAGAGCAATATCTCTCAATACTCGTTTGACGATCAGATACAAATGTCAATCATTTAAATGTTAAACAATCATCATAATCATATTCCTGACATGTTTATATTCCAGCTATATATACTATAAACATAACTTTATATCTTAAATTCGATAACTAACTGGGACTGTGCCATGCATGGCTCGTTTTCCTAACATTTGATTCAGTGTGTTAACTATGATTAGTTTTAGTTTTTACTCTAGCAAATACAGTAGTCTCCTCAATGGCCTTCATGAATTTCAAATTGTGCCAATAAATGTATTATTATTAAGCAAATTAACCACTCTTCTGCAATGTTTGGTCACAAACACTGCACAAGGTTGGCACTATCAGTTGTATCCAAAAAACACATTTTGTATTTACTACTTTCTATGTAACCTTCATACTTGAAAAAATATTCACCTATGAACTGTTTATTTCAGGTGGTGATCAAAGCTGGAGTAGTGGTGGTGCCCGCTTCAAATCTCCACCAATCAAACCTGGTCCAAGAACCCATCCATATTCACGATTTTAAACCAAGTGTCCGACTAAAAGGTAGCTATTGCCAAGTTGTTACCACCAGTTCTTATCAAAGTCTAAATATATTTGAGTATAAAACATTGTAAAATGTCTGCATTGTAAACGGACAGTAAGATTTTAATAATTTTGAAGCATAGATGAAGTAAAAAGTTTAAAAGATAAACATTGAGTAAATGATTTAAATTTCATTGCTTCAGATATTATTTAAATGTTAGTGATCATAATTACCTGTAGTTTGTCATATTCATAAGTGTTAATATTTTGCTGCCATTTATATGAAAAACTGTTGAATTGTTTTTAATTAGAAGGCTTTAAATCGTGTATACTATGCCTGTCCAGTGATCATTAAAACAACAATCATGCATTTTCTCTCACTGACCCCATTTAAACTGGGATATTAACATGTTAAGTTTGTTTTAACATTGAAGGAATACCAAACAAGATATTCAATAGAGTAATACAGGAGTGTGTTCAACGATCCTGATTTAACACTGCAGAGTATTTATTTTTGTCGCTTCTAGCTGTTTATTTGTTCTTCTGATATACACACTTAATTAAATTTCTAACTTAAAGCTGAAGCTAGCACAGCAGTTCATTGAACACTTGTGATAATTGAACTGAACCGTTTCAGTTTGAAATGTTATTTATAATATAGGTGTTATACTGGTACTACTTATTGTTAAACTCTCCTGGTCATTTTCTTATCTTAAAATTCATTTTTGTCAACAAGATTATATGTATTCTTTATTTTTATTAGTTATTAGAAACCGTAGTTGTAATTATGTCATAAAGTTGTCTTTTTATTTCATCTATAACTGTCCAAGCCGTAACTCTTCTAAGTTTTTAAGAAAATAAAGTTATTCTATAAATAAAATTGTTAATTCTGAATTTTAGGGATTTTCAATTTAATTCGAAATTGGAATCTTTCAGATTTCTTCACTTAGTTTCCAATTTACACCATACATATTTCAACCTGTGCGATGTTGGTCTTCTCCACTTTTTTAAAAGTGAGAAAGTATACTAATAATCGTCAATGCCATAATTTTGGGACTGCATTGATTGTAATAGATTAGTTGTAACATTTATCCATCTTAAAATTTGACTATTAAAAGAATGGATGAATGTCCACAAAGGCAGTTAAAAAAGCTTATTTAAAAAATACATAATTAAAGTTTTGGTCATTAGGAGAAAAACAATGTGGAGAGTACTGCCCTATCGGTCTTTAAGATTTAATGTTTCAATTGCTTTAAATGCCAGAGATAAAGATACTATCCCCCCTCAATTTCAGTCTGTATTCTGTAGGTGGCAAAATTCTCCCACTTGCAATGGTCACATGATACTCAAAGCCCTAAATTGAAATCTAAAGACAATTCAAATAGATTCATCACCTACACAATGTTACTTATTCTAACTTCTCTTGAGGTATAGTCGTGTATTTTACCAGCTTTCACCTACTAATTGTCTCATGCTGTCATTCACATATAAACGATATTATTCAGGGATTTTTTTAAACGGGCGGAGCGCCCTCATTCCATGCGCCCTCTTACCCTGGGGAGCAGATCCTCTGACAACCGTAAAATTCTGATTGACCTGGGGTCACATGTGGCAAGTCTTCAACTGTTACCTGTCTGATTGTAATTTTTGCCCCAAAGCCATAAAATGCTTCCTTTTAAATTAGAATTATCAAAAACTTCACACCTTGGCAGGGAGAACCCTATCTCCCCCAATTGGTTGCGCCGCCGAATTGCAGTATTCCCTCTTGCAGTTTTTTTTCTAGAAAAAGCCCTGTCATTAATCATTAGTACAGCACATCTTAAATTTTCATTAGTTGTACTTATTGATAATGATCAGATCATGAACTTCAGTGTTCTCCAGACACTAAAGTTCAATGTCAAAACTGCTGAAATAAGTTTAAAATGTATTTCATTTGAAAAGCATATTTTGGCAGCAACCAAACAATGACTTTTTGTCCATAAATTTTACACCAGTCAGTGTGTTTAAGCAAGATCAGTTTTATAAATGTGAATAACTTGTTAGAAGTTGTAAATATTTCCTTTGCATTTTCTGGGGTTTGTGCTGTTCTAGCAAGCCTGCTGTTCATCTCATCAAACTCCCTTTTAATTCATCTGAATGCGGATAGCTGACATAATGAAGATAAATGGTAGTCTGTGTATATTGGTACACATCCAATCATTAAACAAATAAACTAAATGATAATACTATCACCAGCTGGAAGTCTTTCATTAATGTTATAAACACCTGAAGCTTCAGTCCAAGCATTAAATGATTTAAATGCCTAAATGCAGCTGTATTAAAGTTAAAGAAGAATATAGGGAGCTTTATTTAAATGAGGCCTGTTACCAGATATAACCATTTTTAAGGTAATGTATTGTTTAATGAGCTTTTTGTGAGTAACCAAATAATTTAGTATGGCATGAATTTTTTTCTTTTTAAAAAAATAAATTTATTTTAACGTCCTTGTATTAATGCCCTGATTGTTGCTGTAATATAATAAATGAGACCCGAGGAAGATTTTGTTCATGTGATGTTGGTAATTCAATATGGGTTTGCCCAACCAAAGTTTAAAAAAAAAAATGTTGCCACAATTACTAATGCCTATAAGATGTCTGTTAATTTGAACATAGATCAAACAAATTTGACAAATAAGATGCTAAATGTACTGAATTCAACGCCCACTCCTCTCCCTGATCTTTTCATTGTTCTATTTACACTCGACACATTGTTAACCCTTGTGTGAATAATTGTACTTTCATTATTAGGTTGTCATTTTGTTAACCATGTGCCCCTTTCAAATGTAGAACAATGAAAACAAACTTGTATAATATTACCTGTATTCGACAACTATTATCGCTTTTCATTTTGAATCTATCATTATCGATGGCTAATATTTATTATAACACTTTCTGTAGGGTAACTGACACATCTGACTGAAATGCATAGAGCTTGTGAAGTTATAGAATTAAGAGATTCTGAAGAGAAATGGTAGGTAATAAATTTCTGTACTTGTTTTGAGAACCCCTGCTCTGGATATTCTGTGGTACTGCTAGAGTTATTTTGATAAATTCATGGGTGACTTCAACAGACTTTGTCTCAATTTGTTCAATGTGAAATGGGGGTGATATGTTGATTTTGTTCTGGACGGAAAGTACTATATCAGGCTCAATTACAATTTATGGATGTCTGAATCATAAACCCGGTGAATTTAACCATAGAAAGGAATCGTTTCCTTCACAAACCTTGCAACATCAAATCTAAAAATCTAAAATTAAACCCAGTAAATACCCATAATTTTCAAGCTTTCCATGTTGGATATAAAAACAAAATTAAAACAATATCTCAATCAATTAGTCAATTCTTGAAGAAATTGTTTTTGCATTTTCATTTTACAGTACCAAAAATGTTGCTACTGCATTTTATGTTGACAAAGCATTTTGAATTTTACTTGAATGTTCAAATTAGGTAAATTCTGATTTTTTTTTGGCTGATGGTTTTAACCCTTATTTTACTGTGTTCTCTCCACAGATCATCGATACGATTCACAAACTAGGAAATGTATGCAGTTATTGTCACTAATGCATTTCCTTAACTCTTCACAATGTCTCTCGTAAATATTCACAAAATACTGGTGTTAAATGGAGTGTTATCTGCTTTGAAGAATTTTAATCGTGACATGCTGTAATTCGTAAACTGCAGATGTCTGTGCTACTGGTGTTAAATGGAGTGTTATCTGCTTTGAAGAATTTTAATCGTGACATGCTGTAATTCGTAAACTGCAGATGTCTGTGCTCAACAAAATTTAATTGTTGGGTTACAATTTTAACCTTGTCAAAGTCAAAATAACTTTTTAAAATCGTCTGTCAAAGTATATATGGTAAAATATTTTTGTCCTAAAAATGAATAAAATGTATTTTTTAAATAAATTCTTTGTTACATTTAGATTCTTTAGTATGGGATTGGCTCAATTGTGGCCCCAAATTTAGAATTCACCTTGCCTTAAAATAGTCATGCGCACGAGAAGAGAGGTTGAAAGTGATTCAACAGGAAATTTAAATAATGCAAACTATCATCTGGCTGCTTGCTACAGTAGAAATGGAGGCAATTGCATTGAATCCGAACTTTCAGTTCATAACTTCCATGTGCAAATAAAAAACCTGGTTGACCAAAGCAGCAAGAAGCCTCCTTTACATTCGGAGGAGTACTTGTCCTGTTGGAACAGACTTCTGAATGATTGCCACTATTATACATGCTTTTGGCTCATAAGAAAAAAAATGAAACTCGTAAGCTGGAATTCTGTCCAGGATTCCATCTAATGGCGGGTTCCTGCTTAATCTAAGGGAAAGTTCTTTCAAAATGAAAATTGAGCCATACTCTATCTCAATTGATACCTATACATGTATGTTAATTGGAGTAAGGTGATTATTTAATGCAGAAAAATGCCACCTTGTAAGAATGCTGTATTTATTTGTGAACATTCATAATGTTACAATCTTCATCATAAAAGTCGCTTACGGGAAAAGTGGAATGAAGACGGTAAGTCTGTTGCATGAAAATTTCAAAAGAAATTGCATGTGAATTTAGTGAAAAGTCGGGAATGTTGAATGAAAAGAACACATTTCATGTGTTAAAGTGAAATAGAATGCAGAAAGTTGACTGGTCATTTGGCAGATTGTCCTGCCTGTATATTTCTGTAACTTCTTCCAGGTAAAAGATGTATGGAAAGTCGGAACAGTTGGAAAAGTAATAAACAGTGTTGCATAGAAAGTCTTTTGTGGAGAAGCTGAATAACTAAATTTTAGCTGTTCCACGACACTTCCTCTCATATCTAAGAAACCACTCATTGAATTTTGATGAAACTTGTATATGCACCCAATTTCAATAAAACTTTGTACCTAGATTTCATAGGACTATGATACCTGACCTGCTTGGTTTTAGGCTAATGTTTGCATGTTAATTACCTAATATGAACTATTGGCATTGCGCAGAACATATTAGTTTTACATTAAAATCTTAATTATATTAACATATTGTCTGATTTGCATAATGATACCTTCAGACCTAATTTTATGCATAATTGATTAATTTGCATAGTAATTCCTAATTTTCGAGTTGCCAGTTTTCCTTGGAATTCCGCTAGAGGGCGCATCCAAAATACCCGGATGACGAGCCTGAGTGGGGTTGTTTGACGTTATCCTCGGGGGCGGACATCCGGGCATTTTTAGCGCTTGGCAACCCTGGCTGTTAAAACAAAGGCCAAAAACTCGCAGAAAACGGTACTTTGGGATGGTTGTTGAGACTCCCCTGAACAGTGTAACAAGATTAGCCCTGCGTGTGTAACATATATAAATTTGGTTGTTCAGGATTACTTCAAAGTTGAGTTTGTGTTTTCTCGAATTTTCACTGGCGTTCCACAGCAGCGCGAAAAAAGCCCATAGAAATACATGTACAGTGGTGCGCGTCTTAGCAACGTGGAACGTCTTGTGACGTAGCTCCGCCCCCGAGGATTTACGTTCTGTATTCTTACATGCGTAAATTTATAGATTGGAAAAACAAAAAAGTTCCAGAACTCCGCAAATTTCTTCAGGATCGTGGTATAACTTGCAGCAATGTTCGTAAAGCTAAACTTTTTGAACTTGTTGAGTTTGCAAACGAGTTAAATGTTAGCCTTTTCGAGACCGACGATCGCGAAGAGTCAAACAGTCGTCGTCGTACTGTAAAACACGGCGAGTCGAGGATAACTTTGGTAGCTCCGTATAACCACAGTCCCTCTATCCCAGAGGGACTGGTATAACGTAAAACCTTGGCAAAAAACCTTCATACTTTGCCTTTGTTTGAAATAGCTGATATATTCTCATATTTGTTGCATCGAAGTGACTGGACAACAGCCAGACTGAAAGAATATCGACTTGATAATGGTTATTTACTGCATCATTTCCGTAAAGCTTCATCATGTGCAGAATACAGAATTTATTTTCATTATGGCAGAGTGTATTCGGAAATGATCCATGAGAGAAAATCTTTACAAGCCATGGTTTATTATTAAATCAAACTCTAAAATAGTTTCTGGTGTTTGTAACTGTGTAGTGTAAGTTTGATTTAATATTTCATTCACCAGGCGATCAGCAGATGCAGTTAATATATAAATGGACGCACGTTTTTTTCCTTCCGTAGTAATTTTAATTTCAACTTCGCAACAAATGCCATCATAAGGATTATGAACAAGAAGAACAATGTGGGGATAGGCGACAAGCAACAAATTTTCCATCAAATCCGGCGCAATGTTATCGTTTGCGCTCGTCTCGGGAAGCTGACAGTCTTCGTTTTTTCAATCTATGTATAACTGCGGTTGAAAGACGACTGTCTCCAGTTATTGAACTCAAAAAATACTGGTACAGGATGGAAAATGCCGTGAACAAACCCGAGAATATAGTTTGACGTCCACTCAGGGTCCGACGAAGCATTCGAATCCACTGGCGTCGAAGTGTTGATTTCTTGGACGAAAGAAATGTATGAAAAGTTACGCCATTCATCTCAGGATATTTCGCTGTTTTTTTCTTTTTAAACGAACTCGAGGAATAGCCTGAGGCATTACAATACCAGTTAATAAGTTTGACCAATTCTTGCAAAACGTTTGTAAAAAAAAATAAGACTTCGGCAACAGTAACTACTAGTATATTGCTTGCAGCAGACGCCGCTCAAATTTCAACCCCACCACGAACGTTGAACGGGCTGTCATCCGGTTACTTTGGGAACGCCCTCTATCGAATTTCGCGAGAAAAATAGTAACTCGGAAATTAGGAATTATTTTCGGTATACACACAGATTAGTTTAATTTTGGAAAACTTGCATATTTATTTATTATTAGCCCATTTCTGATATCTCAGAAAATAAGGTTTAATTGAATTTGTCAGAGGTCCTAGAATTAATTTGACTGAAAACTACAGATGTAAAATCAAATGTATTTTCTCTATTACAAGTATATACATTTTGAAAATAATGTCAAGCATCTTTTTGAAAGGCTAATTTTGAATTAATTTTAATGCTTCTCCAATACTCTTTAAGCTTTCTTTGATTGAAATTTTATATTTACTTTTTGATGTTTCATGCAACTCTACCAGTCTTCCAGACAATTGCCCTAGAACATTTTCTGAAAACATGTTCCGAAGTCGTGTTTTCGATTTCTCATGCGACTTTTCTGACTCTCTAGCTGACTTTACCCACGTCTCAATAATTTTTTATTACACACTGTAAGACAATTCCAGAGAAACTTGTTGGGGTAAATAAGATAACAGTTGAAGGGAATGTCAAAACAATTTACTTGAAAGCTTTAACCATTGCATAAAAGGTCAGGATATCAGCATGTAAAATAAAAGTTGTCTAAAGTCTGTACAATTGCATGAAAACTCAAGAATAGAAAGTAGTTACGTGGTTGTTGATTCTGAAACGTTTTAAAACTAGTAACAGTATGTAAAGTCGAAAACACTTTGTATGGAAAGTCGAACAACCTGAATGAAAATTCAGAAGTGGGGACCTTTTGAATAAAATGTTGGAAAAATTGGTATGGTAAACTAAAGACCATGACAAACCAACAAAAGCTTTATTGTTTATTAGACTGGTATTCATTAACATAAAATACACATAGCTCTACTAGTGACAGCGAAAGTATTTTTTTTATTTGTACAGATTTCTAAACCAAATCCCCCATACAGTAGGCATTATAGGTACTCATTGTGAGAAATGTTAAGACTTGTTGTGAAACGTGTAGCTGGATGTATGCATTTGACCAAACTAAAAAAAAAATAGATAACAGGCGGAGACATTATCTCTTTCATACGCTTAGCAAGATTTATAAGATTGTACATAAATAGTAAAAAAGAAACATGGTGAAATAAGTGATGACGGAATCTACATGTATATAATTTTTTTTTACTGGAAAAAATATATTGACTTTGAACTTTATTTTTGTGATGTCAAGTTTATTTTGAAAATAAATTTAACAAGTAGTCTGCCGGCTAAATAAAATGACAGAATCGAAGTTATTGTCACAAAATATACAATATTAACCCAAACAGCTAGCTGTTTTCAAAATCATTGAGACACTCATTGTACCTTTTGAAAAAATGGCTAAAATTTGTTTAAGTAGAAGTCTAAAAAATAATAGACTACGGATGATGCGCAATGAGTAATATGAATAGCTCCAGTTGACTTCGTCAGCAAAAACTTAGTTTACTACGGAAGTTTTCATTAATTGTGAATGAAAAAATATCACTTCCCGAAAATACTGTGAAATACTTTATTTTAGCTAGAAGTAATTTTCACAAAAATGATATTTTGAGTGTATTACATTGAATTTAATTTCACTGATTTTTGACGAGTTGAATGTAAAACATAGAAAAAAAGATATATTCGCTGGATTTTAAGTTCACTGAATCATCTCATCAGCGAAAATAGTGAAAATTAATTCCAAGCAAAAATAAAGTATTTTACAGTAATCAATTATGTAAATATAATTATAATACATATAGATGGTATATTAAACACATTACAAATGTGTGTCAGCCATTCAGCCATTCAGCAGGATATAATCAGGCCGACGATTCACCATTATCATTTCCATCCATCGAACGCAGAGGGATAGTATCTGCAGGGGAACTTTGTACCTGCATCATAAAAAAAAGTAAGGAATATAATGACGAATTGAACTAGATGAAAGACGTATTGCTGGCTTGATTTAGTCAGAGTAAGTATTGACCAAGTCAACACCCCAAGAGTAATTGACTATTATATTGTCATGAATTTGTTTTCGCGTATCTGTTAATCGACTTAATTAGCTGATTATTAGCTGAATTGCTGTGTTATGTCTGTCATCGTTTAGGCCTATTTGAAGTTTTGGACGGAACTTGGCTCAGTGATTTGGAACTAATTACCAGATAACCGTCGCGATTCTGACAGTTGGTATTCCATAGTTATTAATGTAGTGAACGATTAATCAAAAGAGATGACGTATTCAGTACTTAGTGTGATTTGCTTTATGATTGAAGGTTACGCCCTAGAGTCTTTTTACTGCTTTGTATGGTTAGAGTTTTGAAAATGAATAAAGAGAGTTTGAGTTGGTCTTGGGGAGCACAGCACGATAGACGCAGTAGAGAGAGGGGAGTCCGGGAGAGACTTGGGGCGAGCCTGGACGCAGTCTAAGAGAGTCTTGGGTCAGCCTTGTGATAGTCTTGGGGACTTCTCCCCAGGGCGCTGTGTCTTATAGAGTGCTCGATTGACCGACTAAGACGAGAGTTGAAACGTATTTCGTTGTGTGTGTCTTATTTGACTGTAAAGTTAAAGTGATTTTCCCGATCCCGCACCTCAAGGGGACGAGATATAGAGAGATGAGACGAGATTCCCCCTCTGACAAGTGTGGAGAAACCCGAGAGAAGAGAATTTTCCCCTTGATAATATCTACGACTAGTCCATTATCCATAATTGGTCAAATGTACAAGTAATATTGCTCCATTCAGTACGAATATAACACTTTACGGTCGTTTTGAGAATTATTTGGACAGTCAGTTAGCAATATATCTAGGAACTTTGCAAAATACTTGGGTCTTTTCCAACTCAGACTTGATGGCGCCGTTGTATTGACACGCGCACAATTGGGATCATTCAAATATCTTGCTAGATGCGGGTAAAACGCTATTTTCAAAACGACACACGTTGGTTACCATATATTAACAGGTTATATGTTGTATATGCATTCAAAGTGTTATTTTAAATTGTTATAACCATCTGAGTCCACCTGACATAGGACAATTTACAAAACAACTCTAGAGTGTTGAGTAACTCCAGATATTAATGAACTCGTCGTTGGCGGGAGGGCTCAAAGTAAAGTTTCTTAGCATTAGACGCGCTACAGTTTCGCGACAGTTCTGAGCCAAACTAAAAGTTGTTTTTACATTACTGGTGCATTATGTATCAAATTCAGATTTTATACCGAGGTGGGAGAGTACGTCAGGGATACACGGACGGAAAACTTTATTATAACCATTTGATGGACTTTGTCAAATCAAAAGTGCCTTCCTTGAGTAAATCACTTTTTCAACTGCAGTTTGAAAATGACAAGGGTATGACGACCGTTATTATGACTAGTCCATTTTTGTAACAGGTACAACTGACTAAAATGAGCGAGGGGTTGACATTTTTCGACAAATTTAAGCAAAACCCAACTTTGCAAAAAGTTGCAAGTCATTTTGCTAACTGACAATCCGAATAATTCTCAGAACGGCTGTAATATGACACACTTTCGGGATTCGCTGTACTCCTACATAGAACAAGACTCACATTTGCACTGATGTCAGCTTTTCCATCATCACCATGTGGTGCAGAATCTTTAACATCAAGCTCAATTCGGCTATAAAAATAAAAATGTACATGGTATTACTATTTCAGTTCTGATATAATTTGTGGGTGATCAGTCAAAATAGGTATTGCAATTATTTTTTTTTTGCATATAATTGTATAGCATAGAATTCAATGGACAAAATATTTCAAAGTGGTTTCGCATAAACGAATGAATTCTCTTAACTGAATTTAATGTGTTTTGAAATACGCGTATATATGGTGAAAAGACTATGATTGTAGCCGATTATATTATTGATTTTTCTTCAAGGATAATTGTTCAAATGATGTATAGCAACTACATTTGATAAGAGTAAAATAATTGTATCTGCCTGCCTGCCTGACAAAGATCTGATCAGGGTAATCAGCATAGCAAAAGAAAAAATCCCGATTCGAGTTCTTGGTTGCTATCATATGCAGAATTGTATTCATGAAGAATGCTTCACCAATGTGTATAATATTTCCTAAATCCGAATATGCTGCTGATGCGTGAATATGTTGCTTAACGCGCGGTGGTCGTCGTGCAGCGCGTGTTCGAATTTCATGTAAATAAATAATGTATTTTACACGCGCTGTATGCGTCGCTGTGAGACCCACATCGAACAGGACGCGGCGCGACGACTGCCACCCTTTAAATATGAATGTCTTACCGGAGCTTAATAAAGGTGAATGGGTTGCTGAAATATGAATATGTGGTTGCTAGAATGTGAATCTGACATTCTCCTTGCTGGATTGTGAACCAGTTGCCAAAATAACGAGTTATGCTGTTCAATTCACGGGGGCGGAGCTACGTTACATAATGTTCCACGTTGCTAAAACCCGCACTGTACTATGTAATTTATGGCACTGTGCGAGCTGCTGCAGAACACAGAATATCCCGTGAAAACTTCGTAGTTCGAAGAAACTGCTTAAACTCAACTTTGAAGCATTCCTGAGCAACTAAATTTGCATATGTTGCACATGTAGGGCTTACAAGTTGCATTGTTCAGGAGAGTCTCAACAACTATTCCAAAGTACAGTTTTCAGAGAGTTGTCGACCCTTGTTTTCACATTAGTGGTTGCCAGGCAGTGAAAATACCCGGATGTTTGCCACCGAGAATATAGAATTAATAAGCTAAGCACAACATAGCATATGGGCATGAGAACTGAACACTGAATATTCAATGAACACGAGATTGAGAGTTTCTGCTGAGATCGTTTTGGTTTCACTAAAGAAATCTTATATATATGAAATAACACTCACCATCTTCTCAACTATGATGGATACACATTTATAAACACACGTAGAATGACAATTATTGTAAACGTAGCATCATACAACTCTACTTTTTTTGAAATCAGGAAATGTGCTCGAAGTTTTGTATTTCACAGACGGATACTAGGAAAAACGACATTTAAACATACCTGTTAGGCTCGGAAAATTGTCCTCGGTGTGATTCGTGTGCTGACCCAAAGTCTCGAGTTCCACCTAGGCATTAAAACACACATACCGCACTTCTGGTAAATAACGTTTATTTTAAATGACGCCCTCAAGCACTACGTGATGCGAATAATTATATAACAAATACGTAAATTAGTGACAGACATGTTTATATCTACTGTGGTGTTATTTCGGCAAAGGGGTTTGGTAAAGCTGTACACTTTCTTGGGACTCACAACCAAACAGCGAAACAACAAAGTCCGGATTGAAATTGTAGTCGTTGTCTGCGCACGTTGTTCTTATTTGATTTGTTTCATGCGCTCAGTTGTATTTTAGTAAGATTTTGTAATCGTTCCTAACTCAATTTGACATGCAACCAACGAAGATTGTATATACCACATCAACTCTCGGGGCGGAGCCACGTCACAGAACGTTCTATTTTGCTTGGACGCGTGTCGCGAGATGCCCAGGAACGGCCGTCGAGGAGCTGGTGAAAACAACTAAGAACAAACTCAACTTTGAGGTCCTCCTGAGCAACCAAATGTCTTTATCTCGCACATGTAGGAACATTCTTGTCACAGTGCACAGGAGAATAAAAAAACTACCAAAAAAATGATGGTTGCCAGGCGGTGAAAATGCCCGGATGTCCACCGGAGAATTATTCAACCGTTTAAATGCCATGATTCCCCCCAAAAAGCAGTCCTAGTTGTGGACAAATTCGACTAATGTCTTTTTGAAAGGTTTAAACTGTATAATACCTTTTGATCCTGTCAGCGATTGTAAAATATTCATCATATCATCCATGCGGGTCTGCATTCGTTCAGTTGATTCATTTAGCTGTTGCTTCATATCAGCCAGCTCACTGTGATTATCTCGTTCATATACCGTTTGTTCCCTTGGTGACGGAAGCACATCGACACTGCCTCTGTCTCCAGGGTGCTTACTTCTAGATAAACGTTCTGAGAGTTGATTGAGTTGTTCCTAAAACATTTAATGAACAAAACATACAAAAACATACTTGTAATAACAATGGCATAAGTTACTAGTGCAAATATAGATGTATGCAGCAATAAATAGCTTGGGAAAATAGGCTATTGAACCGACACAGCTATGAATATGTCAGTGGTTCTAGGGACATATCCACCGACAAACTGTAAAGTATATTCTACAGTATGAACTGCATTGGTCAGTTTGAGTATATATATATCATTTTGAACCGGTAGGTGTCGATAATGTTTTTTTTACTCAGTTTAATGGCAATTACATCTTGTGGTTGCTATGAGCGTTGGCGTGATTGCTAAGGACACGTGCACCTACTCCTATGATAAATGTTGATCCTATCCCTCTGGTAGCATATCTGTATTTATAATGGCTTGCTTGCAATAAATTGCATGCATATTAATGAGTACAAGAAAATAGTACACGTTGGCTCACATATAATATACTATGCCATATCGTAAAACAATGAACTATTAAACATGGTTGCCATGGAAGTGGTTGCTAGGGCTATGATGGCATGCAAAAGAGAATGTCTGAACACCAAATATGTAGGAAATCAGCTAGATATATCAAAGATTATGGTGTTTTTTTTACAACTCAGGGAAACGTTTTATTTAAAAAGATCTGGGGATTTTTTTAAATAATACATGCATCAATAGAAGCTTTGCATTCTGTGCCGATGCAGACTCAATATACATACCAACCTATATTGACAGGCGAAATGGTGGACGAAACAGCTCCACTTTGCTTTAAGAACATAACAGTATTAAAGCGTTTTTTAAAGAAAAAAATTGAATATACCGTCATGAAATGAACAAATCTGATAGATACATCAATGTACCAATATATCAAATAACAAAGCAATCAGGCTGGTAGTTCACCTCCACAAGACAACAACTGCATTTTGTGCATAATTCCTAAATTTCTAACCCAAACAATTACAACACATTTTATGCCAATATATGAATTTAAACTACCGTACATATAAATTATATAGGTGAAACGTTTTTTTTTTGCATATTTTTGGGGAATAGAATCAACAATGTAACAACCTCATCAGATATCAATCAGATAAAGGAATACAGCTCTTGAGATATCACAAATTGAATATGTATCTACTTAATTGAAACACCAAATCTATTAAAAAAACTACTAAGTGTAACACTTATCTCCTCGACCAGGTAGGCAATTGCACCAAACCTCAACTAAAAACGTTGGTTTTCACAACAATAAACCTTTTTTTCCTGCATATCTCCCAAATTTCTTAACAAAATATTAGACCTAATGTTATGTTCAAACTTTGCAATTATACAATACATCGCCATAAGTAAAAGTTGGCATATTTGAAATTCAAGTTTTTACATTCATACTACCCATTTTGCATAACATATATGATCATAATCCTCAATGTTATATTATTCTATTTTTGTCCAGGCAAAGCATAGAAAAAATAATTAACAACAAAATCGTTAAGAAAATTATTGTTTAGGTAAATGTCTCAAACTTAAAATGCGTTTGTAGCCACCGGTCACTACTACCAATTATTAATCCCAGCACTTCAATAATAATATTAATCTTAACAAAAACAATTGACTTTCTGCATGCTTGCTGAAAGCCTAATATTAAAAAATATTTTTAAGAAAGAAGTGTTTGTAACACATACAAGTATATTGTAAATGTAATAACAATATGAATGTAAATACAATAACCAAAACAATAGGTTTTTGTGCGATTACGATGCTGCTACCAAAGCTACCAATTACAATCAAACGAACACTGAATTCAAACTCAAAAAGACATGTCACATCGTCACACAGACTACTCGAACTGATGTACAATGAACACGGTCACATATAGAATAGTTAATTACCTACAATACTGTCTACCAGCTGAGACATCAACAGGCAAACGAAAAAACATAAGTTACACACTTTCGAACCCGTGATCATGTCAAGCGTCTCGCCACTACTAGCATACGCATTCTCTTTTTCTCTCAGTTTTAAAAGTGCTAACCTTTCTGACGTCCTTGACATTATATTGTGTTATAGAACTCGTAAGCAGAACTGAATTTTCCAAATGTTGGTAATGCTTTCCAAATACATAATGTGCTGAAACGGTATTATTCTTATATAATTTCCTTACCCCATTACGAAATGCCATCAAGATAAGCATTGTCTTACCTTGATTTGAATCGTCATTTTATTCATGCCTTCATTTTCTCTTGGAATGTCCTCATCATCATCATAAAATTCGTCCAACGGTGCACACTTCTCATGAATATATTTGTAAAACTTCTGCTTGTCATTTTCTGATAATTTATCTTCAAGACTGTGAATGATTTTAGCTCTCTCCATAAGTGCATTTGATTTCACGTTGTCATGAACTCTGAAAATAGAACAATTGCATGAATGGATATTGTGAGAAAAACAGCATAACTATTACAAGCTTGCTCATTTGGAATCAGGATATTGAAGAATGAATGATAATTCAGAATTGACACAAACTAATGATACACTCGCCGCCTGGTATGGTAATTTCTTGGCAAAATTGAGTAAACAATGCTTTTATTCACAATATGAAGCTAAGAATTTTAACCCATATCTTGAACAATATACCTGCTAGTCTCACTAAAATTGAACCTGGTTGAATTTTTGTTCATGATTGATATGTTGTAAGATGGTTGGGTTAAAGAGATGTTATGGTGCCCAAAAAAGAAGACAATTTTTGGTGAAATATATGGTGATATTGGCTAACCCATATTACATATAATTATCTCTATAGTGTGTCATCTGAACGTGACAGAATGGTTATTATTAACGTATTTTGAGAAACGTTTTCTAATATTTTTCAAAAATGACTATTCTTAGAAAAAATCCATAGAAGCAATTTAAAAAAAAATATTGCATTTTTGACACTTTTTAAAACCTATCAGTCATAATATATATTTTTTCAGTCACTGTTACAGCGGAGAACAATTATTTTCTTATTTGAGATATGGCATAATATCTCTGCCATAGGAACCTATGATAAAGGCATTATAATACTGGCACAATTCACACTATCCCATCGTCCGCCTGCACGGTGTTGCTTCGTTCGAACATTCCTCCCTCCACAACACCGTGCGGTAATTCTATTCATAACCGTGTATGTCACGTGGTTGCGCGATAGAAAGTTTACCGACCAATAGAAAGCTTTGTTACAATGACTACCAAAAAGCGCTTAGGGCTTTCCATTTCTGATGTCTTCATCTTCGGCTTCATTTCTGCCAATATATGTTGCAGTGACACCATGAGCTTTGAGGTATCACACCTACTCTTCTACAATACTCAACAGTGGCTCAACACTATTACCACGCTCGATGGTCGCAAGGCTGGTAAAGCATACTAACATAATGATTTACCATTTCCAGCGCGACTAAAAAACGAACACATCAGACTCGGAACTGAACGGCTTTTGTCCGAATATTGTATTGCCTCGACATCCAAGCCAACACAGCTTCCACTGTGCGAGCATTTTCACCGCCTGGCAACCATCATGGTGAAAACAAAGGCCAAAAACTCCCAGAAAACGGTACTTTGGGATGCTTGTTGACACCCCCTGAACCGTGTAACAAGATTACCCTGCATATGCAGCATATTTAAATTTGGTTGTCTAGGATTTCTTTAAAGTTAAGTTTGTGCTGTTTTTTCGATTTTAGCTGTTTTCAACGGCTTTTCGACCGGCGTTCCACAGCAGCTCGCACAAAGCCCATAAAAATGCATGGTAGAGTAGTGCGCGTCTTTAATAGCGTCTTGTGACTTAGCTCCGCCCCGACAATGTTGATAGCTTGGCCAAACGCGTTGATGAAAGAAGCAATATGATTGGCTGTTGGTAAACTGATTCTAAACTGTGAGGGCATTGTCACATACACATATTCCTAATGAAATACTTCAAGGTGATAGTGGAGTGCTTCGCCGGAACATTCACCTTGAAAATTCAAGATGCACTATCCGCTCAATACAAGTATTATTTTCTAGAAAATTAGGATTGTGACTCACAACCATTTTACGTCAATATTATATTGTACAATTTATTACTAAATGAATTAATTATGTGTATTTGCATTGATTCGCAGTCTTCAACTTTACGCCGCCTTACCTGACAAAGGTTTCACTTAGTAATGCAATGAAGAGATTCAAGAAGATAACTGCTGTAATTGCAAGATACGTTCCAACCAAAATATCAGTCATTACAGGATGTTCGTCTTTCAGACCCTGACCAACAAACAACAACATATTAGTGTTTAAGTAAAGAGACAATTAATTCAAATTTTTAATATGACTTGTCCATTGTTCAATGGTTTTCCAACTATATTTGATAGTGAATATCTATACTGAATTCCCTAATTGTGATTTACATAAAATAGATTAATTTGTCTAAACACACTACGTGGTACTTATGCGTAACTGACACATTATGACCTTATCTTCTAAAGATATGTTTTATTATTATACCTGATTTGTCAACTTGTTTACAAGGACAACCGCTCTAGAAACATAATTGACAATGATAGCAATATTTTTTACCAGATTATGCGACATTTAGGAAACATAAACTAAACCTATTTGACTGTTAACATAACAATCATTTAATGGACAATTGGAAATATTCAAGAGAACAACATTTATTGAATTGTGACAATACAGTCAAATGTAACGTTTTTGCGTAGTCAGTGTCCTTCATTCCAGTGGGAGTACCCCCCAATCCTGACATATGCGAGTTTCAAGATTACCAAAAGAAGAATCACATTTGAAAGGTGATGTATAGTGCGTTATTTATCAAATCTGAAATTTGATATTGTCGGTAACTATGTTCATGCCATGTCGTCGCTTTTAGAATACAGGCGATCACAGAACAATGGGGATGACTACCAAGTAAATCATTGCTTTAGTAAAGCCACACATTTTATTGAATCTTACATCATAGTTATATTCGTCAACCAGTGTCATCCGGAACAAACTGAACATGGTTTCTGACACAGTCTCAAAGCCATCTACATCACCCCCAAACATCATCCAAAATGCACACACTGTTGAATAAATAAATCAGACACTTGTTCGGTTGGTTTAAATTAGCATACTATACGTTGTCAATTACTGAAACGGCGCTTTATCATTGGTGGATGAATAGCATGTGATTCAGGTACATGTTCTATACGTAACCGATAAATAAGCGTCCACGCCTGTATCACTTCGCTGTATTATAATTGAAATCAAGGACTCCGCCTTTGTCCACTATATATTACTGTGCACGACAAAAACGCAAATTCTTACGGCTAATTGTTTGTGAAAAAACATCAACAAAAAACGACACGCCGTGGCCGTCGCATGTACAGGTGACTCTTTGATATCAAGCTTTTACGCAGTTCAATCAAAGATAAATAAAAGTTTTCTGGCACGTACCGTATGGAATATAGAATACAAAATACAAAAAACTGAATCTTGCAATATCACCAAGAATATTATACAACATTACAATGAACGGACCTGAAATAGAACAGTCATCAGAGAATATTATTATTTTAGAGTGGGATCTATTTGATGGACTACTGTGCATCTATCTTGTATTTTTTTTATCTTTAATGTTGTTTTTAATAGACTCCCAAATATGTGATTTAAACACAATATGTACAACTTATTATTTACTCTCGAAAATCTACAACTATTATTATACGTGTTGTAGGGGATGGGATGGAGTCGCACCGACAGCAACAGAAAGTTTAAGTATGACACCACACACGTACCGATTACAAGTAAATGGACGAATTCTAAATAAGTCCACCGTTATATTATGAACAGAAAAACATGTCAAGGTTCCCTTTTAATTAATTTCAATTAGTACATCTTGGTTTCGAAAGCAGGTAAAGAGCAGGCTTGGAGATGACAGTCCTGTGAAACATAATTATATTTAATGTTATGTTTATATTAGTTGCCTACCCCGACTATAACCATCATTCTTATTTATAATAATTACAAATATTACCTAAAGATGTAAACGCCCTCGCTGGTTTAAATAATCTAATCCACACGAAGATTACAGTGAAAGCAAAAAGTCGTATGTGTAATTTTGCGGCAGCACTTGCGTAATCCTCAAAGTTCGGGGATTCTGTTGTAGAGCCATCCCAGATGGTTTTATTTTCTTGCCATGGCGGATTACAAAGTTCATCAGACACAGCGGCTATATCCACTAAATGCAGTACAACTACTATCACTAGTAGGACATACACAATCCAATCATATATGTTCCTGTTAAAATTATAACGCACAATTTATACATGAGCTGAGGAACAAACATTGCCTGACATTTGACAATTTCGTTTCACTGTGATTAGTCAGGAATTTGAATATTGATAGCCGATTGAATTACAACCAAATTACGTAACGTAAACCATTTACATGAATTTCAAATGTACAATTCAAAAATCAAACGACTATAGCTAATTTGAGTACATCACGCGAGAGTTAGACGCATAACGTCAAAGCACGTGTTGTTGTACTCAATTTTGTTTTAACCACAGGTAAATAAACGACACAGAACGTCGCAAATGTGATGTACACCTTGGATTAAATATGACAACATCATAGTGCCTTCCGTATATTCAAATGAGTATCCTCTTACCAAAAATCGCGAAAATATGGAGCTGACTTTTTATCTACTTCGCCACGTTCGTTTTCCAGCCACCCCTTTTCCTCTGGCCATTGTTCAAGTTGATCACAATGTTCCAGATCATCATCTATGATTTTCTTCTTCCATTCTTGCCACTTCTGTAAGGACATGAAGTATACTGAATCATTAGTGAGCAGGCAGATGTTGAGCTACACATTCCCATATTCCATGGTATACACGTTGATGTTTTACTATTGGCTACGTATCCATCATGATCTGAACATTGAATCAGACAAATGTCTGATGGGCAATCTAGTGACAGTTTGTGCAAAATAGAAGCATCATTATCGACATAATACTTAAGCAATGAAAATGTTATTTTTGAAAAGGGCGGTGGTCGTCGCAAAACGCCTGCGCGAGATATGGGTCTCATATAAACAAAGATGGCACAGATCTACGAGACATTTATAAGCTGAAATTAGGTATTTTTTAGGCGATTGAAAGGTATCGAAGGAGTCACCGGCGGTATTAGTGCAAGTCGCAACCTGCTCAAACTCATACTTTAGATTGGTTTATAGGACAATCAATGTTTATTAATACCGTTGTCGACCTGCGTGTAATTTCGTTTGCCAATTTATATCATTCCGTCGCTAAAAGGAGAAGATTATTTCAAGTCCAAGTTCAAAAACACAAATCCAGAGAGTCGCATTCAAAAAATAATATGTAACTTACTTTGATTTTTTGTTGTGATGAATGGTACTCCTTTAGTTCTTCAAAGATGAGAATTATGGTATAACCACATGCTATAATCTAAAATTAAATTAAAATCACGATGATTATAATGGTATAACCACATGCTATTATCTATGATCAGATTAAAATCAATGCTATACGTGTACAAATAAAAACGTTAAAGGGGAACCGCTCAATCCCATGGATTGCATCAAAGAATCATGGGACACTATTGTTTATGTTGTTTATAATGTTAATCTATCTTTTGTTATCCATTGTTATTTTAATCCAGAAAGTAAATTTGTTGTGAGATTAGGCTTAAATGGAAGGTGCCCCTTTAAAGAACTGAAACATGAAAGTTCCTCTCTTTAAAATATAAAGAACTTTTAAAACGTCCGATCAGATTTCATACTCGCGCACCGGGGTCAACAAATAACACGGGGTCAACAAATAACACGGTGTCAACAAATAACACGGGATCAATAAATAACACGGGGTCAATAAATAACACAGGGTCAACAGATAACACGAGGTCAACAAATAACACAGGGTCAACAGATAACACGGGGTCAATAAATAACACAGGGTCAACAAATAACACGGGGTCAACAAATAACACGAGGTCAATAAATAACACAGGGTCAACAAATAACACAGGGTCAACAAATAACACAGGGTCAACAAATAACACGGGGTCAATAAATAACACAGGGTCAACAAATAACACGGGGTCAACAAATAACACGGGGTCAACAAATATCTCATGGCGTGTATCGAATATCGTAGAATATAACAAAGATAAAACATTAGGATGCCGTGGTATCACAGTTGCTCATAAGATAAATATATGTATCACTATAGCAACTCACCCACAGTATTACGCGCCATACATCTCCAGGGAAATCATAACAGCCCCGAGCATCTGGTTTTGCCAATGCTAATACAGTCCAGCATAAAATAAGTAGTAGGTCTAATAAGAAACGTTTCCAAGCACCTTTCCTGGAAACAAAATACATGGACACAAATGTGTGGTGTATAAATTAAATTCTGTCAAATTATGATTGTATAAGGAACATGCAAGAACTTTTCCAATATTTGCTTATTTCTTCTAGTTCATAAAGATTACAAACAGAAAGTTATGGAGAATTTCATTTCAACATCATTTGTTAAATATTATTATTATACATCTGTGACATAAGCTACAGCGTGTCGTACTTTTGCAGTATTACACTGGGTATTGGCATGCTTCCATATTATGAAAGGGGAATCCCAAATATGGAACGATTACGCACGTGAGCGTCTTCTAATAATAAAAACAAACATGGCAGCCCTCGGGGTTTGACCGGACCCTACAAAAAACATTTGCTAAAGTGTTCAAAACTTGTTGGATTTCGACATACCTACGATGTATCTTATAAGGTTATTAGGAGGATGTCCCAAAGCATGCACCAAGACAGTATGCGATCGTATCGACCTCCGCTGCGCGTCGGTCGATACTCCGGCTTTACTATGCATACTATATGGTATCGTAATAACCTCATATTAATCCCCCAAACATGGCATCGAAACAATATCCGCCGCTCGTGAAAAAAAACAAAAAAAAAAACTGTACGGTCATGTTCGAATGTGTTTCGGATGAATACCTTACTTGAAAACATTCCAACATATTTACGTCACGTTATGTATAACTCCGAAGAAAGTTTCGCCGCGGCGAATATGAAATTGTGCAAGGAACGCAAACGAATGCTTTTCGCTAGCATTTGGGGTTGTTGCATCTCGTTAACTCATGAATAAATGTAGAAAAGGTTGTTAATAAAGTTATGACTTAGGCTGTTCGGGATCGCATAGATGTCACACGGCCTCCGTGCATAATTTGCGGTGTTATGTATACATACCTTGCAAATTGCTCCCATTTGACTTCTATGAGTTTCGTGAAAACAGGGTGTGTAATTAAATCTAGTTGATTATTCTCAACAATAACTTCCATCTGTAAGTGAAACATTAACTGTTTAGTCGTAACCTATGCGACTACATAGAGGGCCACATCAATCAATTGAGATCGAGCATTCCAGCACTATTCACGATCCTGGTCAAATAATGCGAATACATCTGTAGCTATGAACGCATTGATCTGTCAGACGTTGCCATAAATCAGCTATATTTATCAAAACAACATTAAGAAATATGCGGGGATTTTATATTAGTAATTACTTACAGGGGTTAGACCAGGTTTCGCATCCACACCTGTGAACAAAAGAAAACAAAAACACAAACCAGTTTGCATACATAATACAAACGTAGTACACGTTGGTGTAAGTCAACGTTTACTTACAAATGCGACAATCAAATATAGCTTTCCAGAGTAATTTGAGATAACAAGATTCCAGGCTAACTTCTTGTTGCATTACTGAAACGTGTGGATGAGCATTGTCGCATATGTGGGCAGTGGGAATTATTGTTTCTCTGTCCATCTATCTGTCCATCTCTCTGTCCGCGTGTTCATACCCCCGATTTGGGGCTTCAAGACTCCAAGGTCACTGTGCTTCCTAAACTATAGAACTACATGTACTTGCATATTCATAAGTACGTGATGACATCACCGCGGAAACGCATAGCGCTTCAATGGAGTACGTGCAGAGCTTACACTTTATTTATCGCCACCATATATGGGCATTATCGATGACCTGATACGTGAATGCATGCTTTTCATTGGTCAACCACTTGACTCATTGTCATATACCTTCCGGATGATCAAATGGGGGATACAAAAGGGACTCTTTTCTGTCTTGGTATGGTATGGTATGGTATGGTATGGTGAATTTCGTTGCATTTCTCGTGAATATTAGAATCACATTTTCCAACACGTGGCGTTATTCTCAACGGTATTTCTGGTAATTATAGTCAGAAATACCACCGAGAAATTATAGGAGCGACGCCAAAGTGCATGAAAAATAAAAAGCGATAAAAGCATATTTCTTTACTCATATCACACCATCAAAACTATAACCAGTCGATAATAACTTAGCTGAGCACTCACCAAAGCAAAAAGCAGGCCCCACTAAAGCGACGTCATTTGGTCACGTAAGTTTGTCCTCTTCAATCTGGAGAAAATGGCTGCCACTGAAATTACGTACGGTCTAGCGACCTGAATCCCAAGAAAACCAACATCAAACCGATCATCTGTTGACGGTTTTGTTCTGATAAGTGTTTAATAAACTTATTAACGATTGGTGATAGTTTTGATGGTGTAATATGAGGAGGAAAAAATGCGCTTTTAATGACTTTTATTCATGTGAGGAACCCGAGTTCTTCTTTATTGATAAAATCCCAGGACACCATATGTAGAAGATATGAGTAAAACATGATCACAAAGACTAACTATCGGCAAACTTATTGAAATACCACGTGACTAACCAGGTTTCCGTGTTTCCAGTTGATTCAAATAGTAGAACTGTTTGCGATTTTTGGGATTCTTTACATGGAATTGATTTAACGCTTCTTTTGCCTGAAACAGAAAATAATTAAATTAATGATACTAAAGCGGATTTAATTTGTAAAACAGTCTAGCATAACTCATCAATATCCCGTTTTCTTTATAATGAACTGTTTTCAGGGTTCATGGTGTTAAAATAAATATGCCAGGCACATTAAGTTTGAAAGGAATAACAAAATAACAAACATTCTTTTCAGTGTTTTGAATTTTGACTATGACAACTTTTCGGCAACTATGACGACTATCGCTAATGCGGATTCCGCAAGAAGTTCCCAACAGGTTTCAAAGAAGACAGAAACAAAACAAAACAACAACATAAAAACGAGTATGCATTTGTTAAACAACGCTTTACCACTTGTGACATTTTTGATTGCATTACAACAATACAGGATTCGCCGTTCTTATCAATGAGATCAACTTTAGCACCAATATTCAGAAGATAACGACAGGTCACACTACGATCTAAATAAACAAACAAACAAACAAAAATGCCGAGATATGATATCATTCATATAGTGTTGTGCTGTCTATATTATTGTTGTATGGTATTTATAGTACGTTTGAATGTATACATTCATATTTTCGAGAGGACCTCAGATGCTTTTCGAATAATAATATATTTTTACCCACTACTTTATATTTTGTAAAAATAAAAAAACATTTTCACCGACTTGTAACAAATAACGATTTAGTTTAATAAAAGTCCGCCATTTTGCATGTTAAACTCAGGACGAACTATGGTTTTGATCATCGTTGAAATGCAGTAAAAAACCTAAATGTCGACACAAAATACGTCTGGGAGACAACTTTCAAATCGAGCAAATAAAAAGTGTAGCTCACCCCCCATAGCTGCCACCATTATTGGTGTTCTTCCATTGTTCCCGGCAGTGTTTACATCTGCGCCACGCTTGTATAATACACCCAGGGCCTCAACTGCGTCATATGATGCAGCAATGGCCAATGGAGTCAGTTGTTGTCCATAAGTCTTGTGTTCTATTTTAGCTGTTCAATAGAATACTAGAGGTTAAAATATATTGGAAAGATCTTCGAAAGAAATTAGCAAACAGAATATAAGATTCGGAATTAATTCGGAAACAAATTTACTACTCCCATTCCCACATCGGAACATGTTGATAATTGAATGACGTTGAAATAATTTAGAACTGTCGGCGTGCAATCAACATCAGATTGCAAATCGAGGTCATATATAGAATGAATTGGCGGCATGAATAAGCCTGTGCCCAGTAAATATTTTGACAGAGAAGCTGTGCAGGATCACAGCTTGAGAAAAACGCAGTTTCAGTTCATACTAAATTCACAAATACAATTATGAGATATATTATACCAGTGCTATAAATACATTATTGTGACGATACCCTATTTAAGTTAGTCATGTCTAAATAGAGCCTAACACATGGCTATTTGATATGATCATGCGTTCAAAGTTATGCCCACGTATATATATTCCATATATATATATTTTTTATTATCGTCATATCAGCTTAATACATTACTTAAATAATAATATTTGTATACACTTCAGAAGAACACTTTATACGGGTTCAACCGTATCAATTAGTGATGCTGTCCATTTCTTACTTGCCTTTTCATAATTTAGATGTAGTTCATTATTAATGGTTGTTTTGAGCTGGGACATAAAAAGCAAAATTCGTTCTTGGGGCGCATTTATTTTGCACTATCTCTTAAAGAGAGAGTGCATGACAATAGTTAGAATTTGGTCGATAATTAATATGTTTGTTCCGGTAATAAGTGTTCTCATGTTTAACATTACGTCAGTGTCAAAGTAAATAAAGATAAAACATCTGGTTTTGCCCCAGAAATTCCGTACATCAATACAAATATAGAATATATGGAGATTGTCTTCAGCGACGAAACACTTATCACAGAATGGTGTGCTTCGTATTTTCTATTTGTACAGATTGTATCCATTTGGCAAGATACAATGAATAAATTTAAATATAAAATTTGACAGTTTTCTGTCATAAGTAGTGTACATACATCTTTTCCCCCAAATATGTTTCCAATATTCAGCTGGTATGTCACACTTTTTTGACCACATATATTCAACATAAAGTTTTTCAATTTGTTGTTGGGTCAAATTTGCGTACATCAACTTTGAAGTTATATTCAAAAGCATACCGTCATCATTATTAGTGTTAATACCAGATTCCGTGACACTCCCAAGCAAACTTATCCATGGTTTCAGGGCGTTACAAAGCATGTAATATTCATTTACCCAGTTAGTCTTGTTATATAAATGACGTAGAATCTTGTCCAGGTCTATTTTGTTAGCAGTTATTATGTCTTGCATATAGATAATATTAGACTTAATCCAGTTAGAAAAAAATATGGGTTTTCCTTTGTAAACAATAAATCTATTACGCCAAATAATTTGTTTTAATGTAGATTTGGTGCAAATTTGTTTAGAAGGTATAATATTTGAATGGTGTAATGCATGAATCATTTCTTTATAAAATGCTGGCAGAGATCCAAGATCAGGACAGTGTTGGGGATTTGAAAAATTACAATGAAAAATTATTTTGTGCATGTTATTTTTCCTGAGATAGACAAATGGTATTAACTTCCAACTGGGTTCCGTTTCTTTATCTGGATTTCTTGTCAGCAGTCTTTTTACCCACGCTGCCTTTAACGCTTTATATCTATTATTTTGATACCACCTTGATCATAATATGCTATCACAGCCTTTCTTGATATTCTATGTATTTTACTCCCCCATACAAATTTGAAAAACATAACATCAATCTCTTTCAGGGAATTATAGCTATAATCCATAATGGATAAAATACATGTTAATTGTGACAGGGCGAAAGTCTGCAGAATTGCCATTTTACCATACAGGGTAATATTTCGTTTTCTCCAGGGCATAAGATTTTTTTCTATCTGGGCTATCTTAACTTCCCAAATCCTATTTTTTCAAAGTGTTAAGTCTGTATAGAAGTACACCCCCAAAGCTTTAATCGGCTAATTAGGCCAGTTGATATTTCCCAGACACTTTTTCCAGTTTTTCCATTTCCCGATCCACATATCATCTGTTTTAGTGTTATTTAAAAGTGTCCCTGCCACATTGCTGAATCATTTGACCGTTTCAATAGCTTCATAAAAACTATTATCATTTGCTAAAAACAGGGTGGTGTCATCAGCTACTTGGCTAATTTTAATTTGACTTGCCACAATGGTATTGATGATATTAATCCCTTCTATTTTTGGATTATTTCTAATTGTAATAGCTAGGATTTCAACCACTAAAAGAAAAAGTAGGGCTGACAGAGGACAGCGCTGTCTGATACCTCTAGTGGGCTTGAAATTCCTAGATATATGA